AACAATCCACTATCAATTCGAAGTGCTGGGAGCCTTTCTAGCTTACTGATACATGAAATAGACGCTGGTTATGCGATAACTTGCTTCGCACTTGATCTTGTCTTGACCTGCCCTGAGTATAATTAACAAGGATGCTAGTTGGGCTTTCACTGATATTACTTTTGTAGAATACTAAAGTGTGTCCATAGACAACATGATAAGAGGGGGTAAAAAGCTTTAACGCACCTTATTAGAGGACAAATGTTTGTATTTGTTCAGAGAAATATCCATTGCTTAGAAATTATGACTTGAAACCTGTGCAGTTCAATTTATCCTGGAGAGTAAATTTCACTTTATTGGGTGAAAGAATCATAACATAGCACTCTTAAGCACGGTTAAATATGCCGCCACAGAATTGTTCGTGCGCCTTCTGTTGGTTTGGTGATAGTTGTATACTTTTTCAGCGTACCCTTGGAGTCTATTAAACACTACAGTATGTAGCCGAAGCTTACTTTTAGAGAAGTCAAGCGATGGGATATCATAGGTGTTACCAAAATGTCGCTTATTCAAAATGAACCTTTTAGTTTAACAGCTACAAAGCAAACACCGCAGTATAAAAAAGTAAAAGGTATTCCTGATCTTCTATCTTAATTAACACGAGATTTAAATGCTTTAGGTAGCCAAAACCTTAACTCAGTGTGTCAAACCGTAAAGAGAATATTGCGTCCGACAAAACTTTGGCGGGAAACTAGGCCTGCCATGCATGTTAGCAGTTAACAGTCATTCGATGTAGTTATTGTCTAACATTCATATAAAAGGCTCTTTATTTTTAAAATACAACGGATTTGAAATCGAACTGGTGAGCTTCGAAGCAGCCCTCTACAAAACCCAAAAGCAAATTGCACTCTTGAAGTAAATCTCAAACTGTCATCGTTCAACTACATTCGATACATTTAAATGTTAGGTTTCCAGCCGAAGATATCCGGTTAGAGTAATTTCTGTACAGAAAACCGACACTTTCTAGATATAAAAAAATCTGCAGATAACCTGGACCGCTCGTTCAGATTAGGTAATCAGTCGTTAAGTGGAATAACACAACTAATAATGAAAAAGTTATACGAGGTTGACAGCCGTTTACAAAGGAGCCACTAGCGTTATAACAATCGTTTACTTGTTACCTTGTTACTCAGACCTTTACTGGGCAGAAGTGATGAAGCTAAATACAACCTTAGCCTTTGCAACTTAGCTTATCTAGACGGTTAGTAGAATAAGGCTTCTTTTGCTTAAGTTTTCATGAAATGCATAGTAGGTTCTCCTCTTTAGTAAGCACAAACACAATTTGCTAGTACGTTTTCTGAGTAAAGATTCTGTTTGTGTTAACTCTCTGGAATCTGCCAGCAATGCACCATAAGGTTCATCTAAAATATGCCGCTAGAAAACAAGCCCAAGTACCTATGGTTTAATAACACTAAACATTCGGGCTGTTAGTTTCTAAAGTGAATGATAAAACGTCTTGTGTTAAAAACCTTTAAATTTTAAGAGAATAACTTAACCGTAGTTCAGTAAGACTCAGTAAAGCTTTTAAGTTGTGGAAGGATTCGTGTTGTAAACTTGCCCTTACCACTACTCTCTGTGCTACCAACCCAGTCGAAAAAGAAACAAAACATCGTGGCCTGCCAGACTAAAGTTTACCGCAAAAAGAATAATGTTAATTTTAAGTTACTTTTATATGTCGCGTGCAATCAACACCGGCTGCACGCACGTGAGCTGAAGCCCGCTACTTCTCTAGACAGATTCCACACCCGCCATCGATCCGCATTGGCTATCAGTAGATGCATTCACTCTTGCCTGTCGGGTAGCAACCTGTGGCATGATAACGGGCTTTATTCAGCAGCTTTCAAAGTAAACTGCCGCACGCCCATTTTACGTCCCGAAACCGTGCCGCGTTTTGTACTGACCCTACCACTTTGTAAAATGCTTCAGGATGATTTCTCCATAGCTTAAATTGCCAGTTAGTAACCGTTATGTTAAGCACACAATATGTTAGCAAGCTGTCACGTTTAACACAAATGAAAAGCTGTGTAAGGTTATTCTGGGTTAATGTGATACATTTTACATGCTTTGAGCCAACGCAAAGCTAACAAGTAGGTTACAGCTTCACTGTTAAATGAAATGTTCCAAAGCGCGGTTACATCCTAAGCGTTTACCTAATAACATTAATAAAAATTAACTGGCGCTTTAAGAAACGATGGAATGCAAAGCGCTTAGAAATGTGCTGGTTCTACTTAGTTGCTGTCTTGAAAGGATATTAAGTAGCAGCCTGTTGTATATATTAAGGCTAAGATAAACTTAAGGAGTAGTATAACAGATTATGAACTCCAACAATTTTTGCATCTACATGTAGTTTATCGCAAACTTTTATAGGACAAGCTAAACCAGTCCGTTTATATAGCAAAAGTTGGTAGTTTTGGCAACCTATTGACACTCAAATTTTAAACTTACCTACTATAACTCAACTACCAGTATTATCAAAATAAGAGGTTGAAATTTACTAGGTGCATTATGGAGCATAACTCACTGGTTTGCAGAGGCTAGCATCCTTATTTAGGCATGTGGCTAATTAGTGACCAAAGAAAACTACTAACCTGCTATTACGTATCAACCAGCTTGATAAAATATGCCGCGAAAACGAATTGCAATAATCTAAATACCTTAAAAGGTTTAGTACAAGTGGCCAATGTTAAACGTTGTTTTCATCTTAGCGGCCATAAGGCATTAATCCCTAGTCAATGAAAGCTAGGAAGCACAAGTTTGATGTTTAACAAATGTGCTCATTAGGTGAAAAATTAGCTGGTCATATTGTCAACATCAGCAATGCCTTTGATGTTAATGCTGCGCTGCTGTCCTTGGCCATGTATCTAATCCAAATGTACAAATCTTGACACATGAGGATTTTCGAATTTCCTGTAACGATTGTGCTAATTAAGCATTGGTTATGTTAAGAGTTTGATGTTTGCAAACGCTGGTAGCGCTTTAGACGACTTCTGTTGTGTTAATTTTGACAATAAATGTAATATCCGTAGACCTTTTGGCGTTGGTTACTAAATCGTTCTTTGTGCAGACACATAATCTTAGATAAAGGGAGCTATAGTATGTTTCCGTCAAGGTGGCAAATAACTTTCATGCGGAAGTACCTATTCAGCATTGGTAAGCAGTTACTTGCGCATAACGATTACCACAGTGTAGCAAATCTTGAAATAGTGATTCATTGTGTCATAAAAATTACACGAATTGTTCCGAAAGGTTACAGTTAATTTGGTGATTAAACGCAACCGTGCATCTATACTGGTTGTTTTGTAACACGGCGTTATTACTAAAACGTTGAGAGGCAGATAAACCAAGTAGAACGGTTATTTAAGAGTGGTCTGTAGGATTGCCTGCCTAAAAGGCACGCCTAAGTCATTTATGGTAGTCACATTGAAAATTACCAGCAATTCGTTTATGAATTTGGATGCGCACCCTAATTAATCAAAAGGCGACCGATAAACCAAGCTCAAATTTGCTATAATTGCTAAGGATTTCCCAATCCCTACTTACCCAAATAATCTAGTTTTGCTGCCCTTTATGTATGTTTTAAAACGAAGAAGCAAACATCGAAGATCTTTACGACTAAATGCAAATATTTTAATTACACGGATAGTTCAGTGACGTTGATCTTTAGCCTGTATGTGTTGATATGCTTTTGACAATTCTTTGTAATATAGAATAACAGAAACTCAAGCAAATACGCCACAAACTTGTAGACATTATAACGTTTATTACAACACTGTCTAAAAGTTACCTTGTAATAGAGCTTCGGTACAATCATTTAAAACCCTTCTCTACTTTGAAAAATATAACTTAATTTAAAGCTATCGTCATACCCTCCCTGAAGTCACGGGATGATTACATGTCCTCCTAGACCAAGGTATGTACACTATAGACGTTTACGGATTGGACAAAACTTGTTACGCTTCAAACGCTTAGTGAATTTTAAAGTGTTGCATTATTTGTTTACTCTTTTATAGATAAAACTTTGCATACCTCCCTGTAGGGATGTAGTATGCTTGCATGCCTAGTTTAACTGTTTAAGGTGAGCCAGGAATTAGTAAACATAATTCTATTTACGGATATCTTTTATACCACCATAAACGAAATACGTACGAACGATAAAAGCATAGGTTGTCAAACGCAAATCCGTCAGTTTCTAAGCTGTTGATTTTCCGGAAGTATGAGACAAAGCAATATACGTTTGACAGATTTTATATTGTGTATTTGACCTGCGTCTGTCATGGCTTGCAATTTTACTATTCCATCTCAGTTTTATTCATTCAAACAGGAAAAATATAATGGAATTATTTTAACACTGTCTAGCTTTGACAAAGAATAAAAATTTTATATTTCATAACAAGAATGCGTGCAAAACGATTTGGTTAAATCGACTGAATACAGGATATACGCGCACATCAGTGCTTGTCTAAATATTGCAGTAAGACGCAGCCACATGCAGCTAGACAGCCTCACCATCAACCAACAATTACTTTTAACATTGAGTAATTGGTGTGTCCATGTTGTACCTAGGACAGGCCAAGTAATATCGTGAGAAATGTTGTAACCTATATTAAATGGCGCACTAAAACTTTAGTAAGTTAACCGGCTTAGTAAAAACAACAACAACAAAGGTTCATAAATTGCGCAAGCGGCAGCTGGCTTTTACTTGGCTTTAAGGTTGGCACAACTACTTCAAAGCAGACCATGGTTAAGTGCGAATATTGCAATGTTTGCTGTATTTACTATCATTCTGCATTCAAAATGGTAAGCCATATGTGACCTAAGCCTCAAATTCACTATTCAAATGCTAATAGTAGGGATTACATATGGATAGTATAATGTCAACACTAAATAATTCTATTTCACTAAATGTAGATATAGTTGTGCCTGCGCATATTTACAAATCCCACGCAGCTACTTGATAAACTTACTGTACACAGTGTTGTACTGAAGGCCTTCATAACTCCATAGCATTGATTAAAAAGTGGTGACAACAGGACGGCAGTCACCTGGCTAACCGTGTTATAAGCTTTAATACTTCTGCTTTCCCCTAGTTTCCTCTTCAACGTTCCCATGAGGAAGATAACCTCTTCCAGCTTCAACATGAGTAAAATGGTCTTCTGCAATTATCCTGAGGTGATTGTGCAGAGACGCACTCATTACCACGGGGTCTCAAACACATGGAAGGAAAAACGGCGGAAATTACGTTGTGAAGGTAGTGTACGGCGGTTGTTATTGGATCAATGAATGGGTAGGGAATAGATTAGAAATGATAAAGGCTTACGTCTAAAGTTGCTATTGTGTATAGTCACGAACTTTTATTAACCTGTTACTTGATATTACGTTTAATTATCTCCCTTCCGCTTCATGTTACTCCAGTAAAATACTATACCAAAACTTTCAAAAAAGAAACAAGCTTTGGGTTTAATTATAAATTATCTTCCTATTTTATTATATTTCTGTGATCATTCTCAACATAATTCTTGCACTTTGCTGTTTTAAAATCGCTAGCCTATATTGCTTTCTTAGGATCCCATGAAACGGACGTTCCCGCATCAACAATAAATCAAAATCAAAATAACGATTGTTTGTTTTCACTCAAGGTCGTCTCAAGTTACTTTTAGGCAACAATAGTTGGCAGTTTTCATGGAAGAAACGAAAGGCACTTGAAAAATTAGGATGCTACAAACACCGCTTCTAGTATATTAGCCTTATACTGACCTGATATATATTATTTAGCTGGGCAAGACCCGCAAATGAAGAAACCCAAGACGCCCGATAAAAATTCACTACTAAAAATAACGTAAGCATGTCAGCCAAAGCTTTTGCAAATTGATATTGAAGTGCCACTGTCACGAAACTAACATGCATCGCATGGGTAGGATTGGATTGCTGCATTCCCTGTTGCTAGTTCAGTTCAGTTCAGTTCAGATGGGGACTGGAACGATGGGAGAGTCCCGCGAGTGTTCCATCTTGAGTGGATCGTTGAGACAGGAATTGTTGAAGTGCTCAGTGCGAGTTACTCAGGAAAATGGAAAGGTTTCGTGTTGCCAATCAAGAGCGTCCAGTTGCCGCTCAAACCCCTTAACCGTAGATTCCATGATAACACTTTCCGGAAGCATGTTCCAGCGGTCGATGACTCTGTGTGACAGCCGGATTTCCGCCCTAATCCGATCGGACCGCGGTTTGTCCAGCTTCAACGAATGACCGCTTAGAACAGACAATCTAGCGGGACTGAATAGCCCAGATAAATCTGGACCAAACTTACCAGTTAGGATACGGTAGGTTAGGATTAGGTCTCCTCTAAGCCTTCGGTGGTGCATTGAATGCATTCCCAAACTACGTACACCCTCGGGGTACGTCCGTCCCCATAATCCCTTGACTAACCTAGTACCCACTCGTAAAACCCTCTCTAGCTCCACTTTGTCCCGGACGAGGCAGGGCGGACAAGCCTGGACGCAGTATTCCAGATGAGGCCGAACGAAAGCCGAGAACAGCCTCGTAAATATACCGCCCGTCAAGACTCCGAAAGAACGTCGGCTTAACCACAACATGCGGAAACCCATACCTGCGGCCTTCTTCCAGTTGTCGCCGGAGTGTAAATCCCAAGAGTGTACGACGCCTAGGTCAACCTGGCTAGATACACGGGGGAGTTCGACCCTACCGACCAAGTACTTCGCAGGTGGACAACTCCCTCCAATTCGAAGAACGGAGCACTTTGCTTGATTTATGGGCATTAACCAGAAAGTAGACCAGTCCCAAAGCTTATCCAATGCTCGCTGAATAGCTTCGGAACCCCCAGGAACATCAACAATGTTCCACAGCTTCAGGTCATCAGCAAATAGCAGCGATGGTACCTCAAGCTCCGCGGGTAGGTCATTCACATAAATAAATAAATAAATAAATAGTATATTCTCTGTAAAACGAGACACACCTCTAAAAGGCATGATCAAATATGCATACAAGCACAGCATCTTTGGAATATTAAAACATTTCGTTACAATGAAAGGAATAAACGAAAAGATGTAGTCCATAAGAGCGAGCATATTGTCAGGTAATAGTCAGACCAAGGATCATAATGGCGCCGTGGCGCGCAAAAACGGTTGCGTCAAGATACAAGTGGGGGTAAATTTGACATGTATTGATCCATGAGCACAGGAGCCCGAACAAGGTTTAGTGCAATCAATGACCATTACGAAGCCGGGATGATCGGTACTCCACTAAAGCATTCTTCATAGTAAAATCAGTTGCACAGGTTCGTTGTTGGAGGCTGAGGACTGCGTCAGTGTGAAATGTATAGCAGTGACTTTATTTTGTGGCGAGTCACATCCGCCACGTTGCAGTGTTGTTAAGCGGACATTTGTGGCTTTTTATAGGGAGAACGCTTGCGAGGCGAAAACCCACCACGTCCTGGAACACTGTCGTAGCTTCCGTTGAACTGTAGTGCTAGTCGGCTATACATCGTATAGACCGATTTTGCACTCTATTATTCGCAGTCGGTTGACAGCCAAAATTTTTAGTTGGTTGGCCAAATGGCTTAGTACTGAACCGGCAATAGTCGTTGAAGCCAGTCAATGATGTAAAAGAGTCGCAGAGTCGAATGATGATGATGCGGGTGAGTAAACATATTGTTAATAGAGGCCGGCTTTTTCTATTATATTGTCCGGCTCGCAACCCGTGTCCAGCTATCCATGCTGGACTTGTCATAGGGACGGTGAGTGCAGTTGTTTCTTGTGTCTGAATATGCCCAAAACAGGAATAAATGCTATTCTCCTCAAAGTGGACAAGTATTTCCTTCAAATGTAAGTGTAATTGTTTCCATAACCAAGTGAGAGCTCCAGGAAAAATCATCGGAAAAGCCGCTTATGCGCGCGCAGTGCTATCCGTGAAATGACATCAGAAAAGCTCCATGTGACTGGAGAATCGGAATGTTTGAGGCAGTGAATGTAATCACGCCAGAATTGTCAGTCTCCGGTTGTGGAACAGTGGATCCATGTAACTACATTATTCCAGGTGAGTAAATTGTTCTACTGTGAGTACGAGGCGCTAAACCCATTTGTTTAGACCCCGTGGTGGTAGCTTCTCCAGAATGGCGGAAAGAGCTCCATTTGGAACGATGTGTGGTTTCTTCATCTCCCGGAGAAAAGTACAAGCATGTAAACCAGCTGGCTATTGAAAGTGGGTCGACTATTCCCAGTGGATAAACCTTCTTGTTTTGGCGGATGTATCTGTGGAAATCTCGAGAGAAAACGGGCAACGGACAAGAGGCAGCCAAACCGAAAGACAGCAACGAAGCAAGAAGCTCAAACACAGACTGGTGGCGACCAACGGTGCCTATGATACCTTAAAATTTATGTGATTTTTTTTAGTATACATGATTTGCAAGCGCGTTCTTTACATCACGTCGCTGGTGTGCCTCAGACTACAACTACTAGGTAGAAAGAAGGGTATAACAAAGCGTGTAGACAACGTTAAGCGATTAATATGATTATTGGAGAGTTACAGGTAAACCGATGATGATGACAGCAGACCGAATGCGAGCGGCATCTTAGGTGAAACTAAGGACACAAGGTTGAGACCGAATGCGGGAGCAACATAGGTAAAGCAACGTTCCAAGAAGAAAAGGAAATTTAAGGATAAACAGCGGTCCAAGGACGGAGCCCTGCGGCACGCCGCTGAGGACAGACTGCCTAAATGATAGACCCCGGCCTACCCGTACACACTGTTCTCTATCCTCTAAGAGTGCAGTCACCCAATGTAGGGCGCGGCCAGATACCCCGTAGAAGGACAGCTTTTGCGCGAGCCTCAAATGGGGTACTTTGTCAAATGCCTTCGAAAAGTCGACGAAAAGCACGTAGAACGTGTGTCCGTTATCCACTGCATCCGAAAGATTTTCGCGAGCCAACAACAGATTCGTCAGACACGAAAATCCCTACCGGAATCCGTGTTGTACATTGCTAAGTAGATTAAATCTACTCAAATGACTCTCCAATGAATCTCTCACCAGTTTCTCGAGGAGTTTGACAACTACTCTCGTCAGACAAACTGGCCTGTAATTTGCAGGAAGACCCCTGTCCCATGTTTGAAGATGGGACAGATGACAGCTTCCTTCCATTCGGAAGGCAATGCACAGCTGTCAAGCGATTTCTGAAACACAATAGCGAGCGGTCCACTTAGTTCCGCAGCCAACTCATGTAACAGTTTCGGGTGAATTAAATCAGGGCCAGAGGTCTTAGAAAGGTTCAGCCCTTGTAACAGCCTACGAAATGCAGTCTCCGCTACAATAAATTCGGATAGTTCTGAACCTTCAGGGGTCCTGCAAACCAGCTCAACGCCTGTCAAAGAGGTTTCCCTTACAAACGCTGCCGCACATTGCCCACTGAGTACGCAGGCCTTGTCATAATTCGTAGGCGCATGAGTACCATCATCACGCATCAATACTGGAATTGACATGTTCGAAGCGCAGCGCCTTCTGACATAAGCGAAGAATCTTTTATAAATAAATAAATAAATACTTTATTCTCGACTATGCGAGGCATGCCCATGGATTCTCTGAAGCTTCGTCCGCTAACCCTTTTTCAAAATTGAGCCGAGCATTCCTTAGGTGTTGCTTACATCTATTTCTAGTCTTACGGTACCTGTTATAAGTGTCGGTGGACAGAGCATCGCGGTAAGTCCGCCAAAATCTAGACCCCTTTGTGAGCAGCTGCCTGCCAGTGGGATCTATCCAGGGCGGCTGTGCTCGGGCCTCCTTTCTCCTTCTGACTGGGATGAAGGAAGTAGAGACCTCTGTCACGTAGGACTTAAATTTATCCCAAGCTCAAGTTGAGCAGCGCCGAATGTGCCTGACGCTGAGTCGCAAGAAAGATCTACCAGCAAATCTCTGGGAGGTTGAAGTCGCCCATCACCAAACACTTATTTGCGGACTGGGAGCGAATGAATTCAAGTACCTCTTTGGATACGCTCCCAGGGCTTCTATACACAAATACAGCTGTAACCTGAGCCGAGGATGTGCTAATAACAGCCGATAGAGCTTCAACAGTTTTGTCTATCGACTGAAATAAGCAAGTCTTCAAAAGGTCAAGTTTACAGCTCACATAAAGAG